GGCACTCTATACTCTTCCATTTATGGTTGAGAGGCATGGCTTTTTGGCATTCAATACTCTTCCATTTATGGTTGAGAGGCACAATAAATATGCTCTTCCATTTATGGTTGAGGGAACAGACATAGCTTACCCAAATATGAGATATGATGATATATATAGGCATACATCAGGAGTATCACCCTTACACTGGAATGCACAAAGCTCATGGTCAGAAACTTTGATTTTGAAAAATGATGGCTTTTCTACTTGTGTTGAACTTAGCCCTGAGCTATGTAAAAGTGACTACACATTTTCTGAATATTTAGATTTAAAACTTCATAAGTTGTGGTTGCATCTAAGATCTTCTCCACTCTTGGAATTATATGTTAGAGCTTTTTTGACTCTTCTCAGATTGTTTACCATCATTTCTCAAAGAGATCTGGTTGCAGTAAAATGCCAGGAACTTGATTTGAAATTGAAAAGAAATATATTGAGATCTCATGACTTTGCTACTCTTATGAAAAGAATTGGTGGATGCTCTACTATTTTAAACTTTGCAAATTACATTGTGTATTTGATAATATTCCACCATGTCTCAGCTTTGCAGTATTTCAAGTTCTCAACAAAAATCACAAAAAATTTGTGTATCATGATATTTGCTTTATCTGTAGTATTCCTTTTGGAGCTGGAGCTTCCAGGGTTTAAACCAACACAAAGTTTCAATCCACATAATGACTTGGTAACTAAAAGTGAAATACTGGGGGGTGGCCCTGCAGGTATATTCTCAGCTGAGAAGCTTTCTTCATTTGCTATAAATGAGGTGAATACAGGAGAGATGTATAAATATTCAGACTATGTACCTGAATCTGAAGTCCATGCATTGAAGAGTATCAAAAGTCCAACTTTACTTTGTAAGATGCCCCTTACAGAGCTCATTTCCCACTTGAGCATTCCTAACTTAAAATTTATTGCTCAATGCCATAACATCAAACTTCATTCCAAGTCAAAAAGCTTAGAAATTCAGAGCATTATTGAAAGTCACAAGTGTAAATCATGTAAAGAATATGTAGAAATATTTGAATTTATAGATGAGAAAGACAAGACAGAAAAAAAGAAAGCTATTAATTTAAATAAGTCAAAAAAATACCAAGAAAAAAGTCCAGAGAAATATAAGGCCAGCCACTTGGAGGCAGTTAAAAAACACCAAGAGAAAAGCCCAGAGAAATATAAGGCCAGCAACTTGGATGCAGTCAAAAAACATCAAGAGAAAAGCCCAGAGAAATATAAGGCCAGCAACTTGGATGCAGTTAAAAAATACCAGGAAAAAAGCCCAGAGAAATACAAGGCCAGCCACTTGGAGGCAGTCAAAAAACACCAAGAAAAAAATGAAGAAAAATATAAAGTTTTAAACTTGGAAGCAGTAAAGAAATATCAAAATAAAAGCTTAAACCCAGAATTCCTCCTTCAGCTCCTTCCCAAAAATACTGCATCAGATATTACAGATTTCTGTGAAGATATAGATCCAAATCAATTTGAGGAGTCTGGATGTGCAGTTTGTGGTCAGTTAACACCAAGTTCAACTCTCAAGAAGCTCTCAGAAATGAACTTGAACTTGGATATTCTGATTCAAGATGGTGTTACCCAAGTTGAAAGACAAAGTTCAAAGGATCCCCTCTCTGATATTGAAGGCCCAGTTCTGGACAGTGATTTGGACTCTATATGTCAGACTTGCTATAAAGCTGTATCAAAAGGCAAGATGCCACTGCTAGCCTTAGCAAATGGCAAATGGATAGGAAAAGTTCCACCTCAATTATTCAACTTTTGGTGGCTAGAGTTCGTCATAACAGATGCCTAGTCAGAGTATCCTCAGGAATGCATAAAATGAGAGCCAATGCTATCTCTTTTTCTAATCCTACACCTAAGATTTATGATATATTGCCTCCTCCAATAGAGGAAATGGATGAAGTTTTAGCTTTCATTTATACTGGTCCTTGCAAACCTACAAAATCTGACTTTGAGAGAACTCCTCTTCTTGTAAGACATAAAAAGGTGGCTGCAGCTCTAGAGTGGCTTAAACTAACCCACTGTGACTATTTTGATCTGGAAATATCCTATAAAAATCTTAGAGAATATCCTGAGGATAGTCCACCAGTTGTAGTGGATTATAGAGAGTCATCTTCAAACAAAGATCCAGAGTCTACAGCTATTAATGATATAGAAGAGGAGACTGGAACTGAAACTGGCGAGTGTCCATTTGTAGTTCATGGATTGACTGGTGAAGAATATTCAACAAAAAGCTTAAAAGCACTCAAAGCCATTGCCCTTCAACATTTGACTTCAAATAAAAAGATATTAGCTGTGGGCCATGCACAAGAACCAGAGTCATTATACAATAATCCTCAGTTATTTCCTCAGATGTTTCCATGGCTTTTTCCATATGGCCTTGGAGGAATTGGAAACACTTTCCAGAAGGGGCGTCTGTCTGAAATCAAACACAAAAGGCATCTTCTTATGTACCATGACAAGCGCTTTCAAAAGGATTCTCACTTTGCATTAATTGCTTTTAATCATGAGCAAATCAAACAAAGTACATCTTCAGGATACCTGCTTGCTGAGACTCCAAAATTTGACAATATTTCAAAAAGACTTATGGATGTTGATATTGAAGTTCTAAGTGACTTGATCCAAAGAATGGAAGATGGAGAGAGAGTAAAGCCTGAAACTGATGAAGAGTCCTTGTGTTTTCAGCTTATTAAAGACTTGGATCATGTTTCAGGAAGAGTTCAAGGCTCAACTACTACCAAAAAATATATGCGCAATGAAATCTGGTCTCTCATCTCATTCATTGGAGCTCCATCTTGGTTCATCACATTCTCTCCAGCTGATAACATGCACCCTATATCATTATACT